GATCAGCCCGAGGACGGCAAGACAAAGCTTGGCTCGTGTGATGTGGCACGAGTACGATATCCCGATGACACGGCGTCTTTGATGGGAGGCGCTGCAATGGAGTTTGTTAAGGCGAACTATGTCAGTTATTGTGCCTCGCTGGTTACAAATACTTGAGAGGGACGGGTGTCGGACGCGAGCGGTCGCAACGCGTTCCACCTGTGTGGTGGTGACCGATTTCATACTTTTCCTCTGTTTTCCAGAATGGGTGTCATAGGAAAGAGTTTAGGTTGCTAAGGAGAATTGTGGCTGGATACGGCTATTCGTTACAAGGCGTGGCAAGAAACACAGTGGTGACAACGTCGTCATTTACGAGACAGCGGACGTGACTGCACAAGCCAACCACGACTATACCCCTGTGAAGCATGGAAGATTGGTATTCAAGGGACAGGTGAGTCGCTGAGAACATACAAGTTTGTAAAAGTTTGAAGCCCAATCTTTTCGAACATTACATGAGTGTAATGTGTGCTAAGAGCACGTCATAGTTCGCGATCCAACGACCGGGTCGCGAAGTATGAACGCGCTTCAAGGTGTAATTGATGGAGATCAGTCGTCAACGATAAAAGGCGCCCCCATTTTCTGCACGCCTGCGCGCTCTCGACAATGGGTCTGGTTGCCGCTGGTGAGGATAAGGGCGACCATAGAGCGAATGTAGTAGAGTATTGTCAGTTTGACCCCTGCCCTCCCTACGTGCCCTTTCACCTGGGCAAACTATACTGAAGCTCCCCTGATTCCCCGGAGCAGGGTTGTACTTATTTGCTGGAGAGAAGTGAGTCATATTCGGCCTGAGAACACACACGCGAAACTACTGTCTATACTGGTTGATTCATAGCTAGAGAGTTTAATGACGTCTCCACACCCCCTTCCCCCCCTCCCTCCCTCTCACCCTGCCAGCTCGACGGCTATTTTTCTTGAGAAAATTCGCTGAGACAGTTGCTTCGCTGTGAAAACCGCGGTCGAGGGAGAAAGAAGTTTTGGATGGACCCTTATATAGCGAGAATTCAACACTAGTCGAAGATTCCCTACAGCACATCAATCGCGGTAGCCTACCAGCTTTCACGATCGGTGGAGAACAGGCTAGCGCCGCGCTGCATGCCAGGCATCCTGAGATGTCCCAGCCTTTGCAACGAAAAAGACTGTAAATCGTCTGAGTGAACTCTCTGCCGATGAGTTTCTTAGGTATAAGTGGAAGTTTAGGAATATGAGAAGTATATCGACATAGAGATAATCGACGACAAGCACGACGAAAAGGATGAAACCTTCACCGTCGAGATTGTTTTGGTTGAAGGGGAAGGCGGTAAGGTTTTCTCGAATTTTTCTAAAGATTGATTTCTGTGAAAAAAACACTGGCCTTAGTGATGCATGGGCGGAGTCAGGCCCATCATTGCTCATCCCTCATTGGTTCGACTTCCGTTTCTGAAGTTGTAAAGGACAACGGCACGTCAATTGTGGAAGAATACAGGATCTGGCCTGATTTGTCCGCTACGACGATCACAGGGGACTGAGGCTTATCAAGGATCAGGAAAGCCGTTTTTTCCGCCAAATGCTGAGCACGTTTTTACAGAGGTGGCTATCGGACGAAATCGCCGTACTGTGGTGACAATCATTTCTGATGACAATGTCTTGATGAACCTGGTCAACGTACATAAGCTTACAAGTCATTACATTCAAAAACTCTCCAATTACAAATCGTCATGGATGGATCAGGTGGGTGTTCAGAGTTGATTTCCCGTTGTTCTAAGTTCATGACTAGATCAAAATTGGGTGCTATTCGGCTTGGAAGGGGCATTTCTCTTCGCCAACTACTTTCACCTTTATCCTGTTGGATAACAAAAGCTCATTTCGGTGAGACCTATGAATTCTTGTGAAGCAGTGAAATTTAAAAAGTGACTCACCTTGGATGCAAAGACTTACAGGTCTTTAGAAGGTGTCCTGTGGAAGCTTACTTGCGCACCATTTAGTGCCCCCACGAAAGCGGAGCTGCCCTCGACGTTTTCAGACAGTTCACTTTCGAACGCTTCTGTGTGGAATGAAGAACTACGAATCGCCTCTACATTTTTTTTAATCCGAAGCTTCCAAGAGCGCAGTCCACGCTAGGCATATGGGCGGAGTCCGACCTGCCTTCATGCCTTCTACAACCGTTTTGCAAGGAGAAACTCAGGGATGAATAGCGCACAGGCCTTGCTCCGCCCATTTGGCTCGCGTAGACTATTTCTCCAATCACCAGTAGTAGCCAGTTGGTAGCAGAATTCAGTATTCAACACTTAGAAGTCAAATCGTCTCTTCAGTCCTTGTAATTTCTCGGGGGATGTGGCCTCCCCAGATGAACGAGAGGCAAGTCTAAGTCGCTGATGAACCTGATAGCAGAATATTGCTTTACAGATACGTGAGGCGATGTCGGTGAACGCTGGTGACACGGCTCATGCAACTTTTATGGAGTGTATGCTGCATGGTCTTGCATTCCCATGGAAAGTAAGTAATAGTTTATTGTTGACTATTATTGTACTGCCATTTAGCTGCAGTCTTGTTCCCTGCGGATGGTGGGGGAGTGTCAGGGGTTTGACGCACTGAAACCCATTCTCCACCAATTCTTGAAGGAGGCAAACGGCAAGAAACTGTCAATTTTGCGTTGTGGAGCTCAGGTCATATCATCAACGTGAAATTGTCAGCAGGAGTCGTATTTGAGTGGGATAGGGAGGGGAGGGGGAGGGTATGTGGCCAAGGAAAAGTTTCTGTTGCCAGCACTCTTATTATTCTTTTTTATAGTTTCATTTTCTGCTTCGTCCCACCTCCAAAGATTTTCGGCGGTTGGCTGTGTTTCCTCGTTGGATTGGCACTTATTGGAGTTCTCACCGCCATAGTAGGTACGTACTTTCACTCTTGCAGTATCTTTCGCTTTTTCCTTTTTCCCCAACAGGGGATATTCCAAGACAAACTGCACGCTCACCTCCGAGAATCTTCTTGCCATGTGCGAGCTGTACGGCCCAAAGCTGCATTAGCGTGCCACTTTGTCCGCTCAACAGTGCACGGTAACGAGGATGGAAGGTGGTGATACTGGGGTGCCTTTTGGGTCTCCACCCAAAGGCGCAGACGTATAACACGCCGCACGGCCAGCCACACGCCTAACCATAGCCAAACGCGCCACTTGTCCGCGCCCTCTCACGCGTGGTTGTTCTCTACCTTTAACTGCGTGTTCGCTACAGAGTTTCAGTGTCGAAGAAAGTACTGCATCGGGAGGGTGCCCGAGCAACACCACACCTGTACCATTCAGCCTTACTTCAGCGCGCTTTTGAGTGAGGAAGGTTTAGACTTGTACAGTTCTGCTCCCACATGGCAAGAACCGTCCTCGGAGGTGAGTGAACAGCTTCCGTTCGACCTATAGCCCCAGTTGTAAAGGGTTTTCCCTGAAAAGCTTCGCTCACTTTGCCCGACATTCTTGGGCCCATTAGAATCCCGTTTAGGTTGAACAAGATTTGGAAACTTTCAGGTGACCTTGCGTCAATCTTTGGATGTATGGTCGGTATGAAAGACGCTATAACTGCCATTACCCTTGTCGCTCTGGGCACAAGCTTGCCCGATACCTTCGCCTCAAAGATCGCGGCTGAGAACGTAAGTGCCCTTCGTGAGAGCTCTCATAGCAACGACTTCTATAATCATTTCAGGATGATTCTGCCGATAATGCAATAGGAAACGTGACTGGGTCGAACTCTGTGAACGTGTTCCTTGGCCTCGGTCTTCCTTGGCTCATCGCATCTATTTATTGGGCTGCTAAGGGTGAAAGCTTTGTTGTTCCCGCTGCTGATCTTGGTTTCAGGTACGTTATACGGAAGTTCTTTTTGCTTATTTTGGTTTCTGAGAACTCCTACGAGTAGAGCACATCGTACGCTGGAGATCTTCGAGCGAGAGGGGTCGTATGTATGTAGTCGCTGGATATGGACATTGATAGTATTTGCCTTTGTGGGAAATGTTTTCGGTTATTGGCGTTCCTCAATTTTTCCCGCTTCGCGAACGCGTTTTACCACCATTCCACTAGGCACCAAGCTTTCCTAGAGAATTACTGGAGAATTTTTGGAAACAAAAACTCTGGAAAAATGGTACGATGTTGAAAAATATATAGTGAGGGTGACTGCTATCACTGGTGTAGAATGTGAAGGAAGCTCAAGGCGAAGATGGAACCATTTTTCATTGTTTCGTAGCTTATTCGCCCCAATGTTACGAACCGCAAGGTGGACGAGCCACCCAGAGCCACCTTTGAGTTTTTCGGCCGACTTTCGCAGGCAGTGTGTGAAAAACTACCTGCACATATTGGTTTGTACATTGCAATACAATGAGAAACTTTTTATGTAAAACGTGAAGTCGAGGGGCGTGATCTGTGAACGGGTGATTTCTGGGAACTGAGCTAAGAATAAGCATTAAAGGCAGCGGGCACGATGGCTAGGGGGAGCGGTCGCTGTCAGAGAAGGGCTGCGAGAGGGCGTTTGGTCACACCCCATCACGCCCTTCAACCAATAACGTGTGCAGTTGCACCATTGTCCCCATTACCTATGAGTCCTCCCTTCACTTGCGATGTCGCGATTGCAAAACGACACAAGTTGACTATACAGGGGTGGCCAAAAAAAGTCACTTCGACCGAGTCACATATCAGCAAAGTTTTCGCTGCCCAGACAGAGGACGTGGGCGGAAGATACCCAAGATGTTCCTCGATAAGCAGGAGCTGGCTCTCGCCCATCACCTTCATGTACACCAAAATATGAAGTCATCTCCAGTCGCAGCCTGACTGGAGAAGACCTTTGGAATTCATGTCACCTCCAAACAGCTGCGAAACTTCTAGTACG